AGACGACCTGAAAACCGATTTGGCCAACTTTTTCGTAGCGCAGCCGCCAGAGTTCTATTGGAATGGCATCCATAGTTTGCATAAACGTTGGCGTGAAGTGATAGAGGCCAATGGTGATTACATTCATGATTGAGATGATTTTGCTTTTAAATAAACTGGGTTGTAATAATTGTTCATGAAATTCCGAGAACTTTCTTTCCAATCAGATATATTATGAATCAAAAGGCCTCAGTGTGAACTGCATTATTTCGGCATTGCTGCGCAGATTAGCCGACTGTCGTTAGTTGACATCAAGTTATAACCTGGTCAACTAACGTTCCATTCGAAGTAGATGATGATGGCAAAACTTTAGATGTCAAAGCGACACATTTTGTACTAGTATGGCCATTTGGACATACTTCTTCATATTATAATATTCGACTCACCTTTTGGCACATTCCAAGTGTGTCATAAAAGGGAAAACCTTTTTCGTATCATAAAAGTTATGTGAGAAGGTACAATTAACAATTAGGGACAAGAAAAGTGGAGTAGAAGACGAGTGTCATTCCTGTACTAAGGCATGAAGATATTAAAAACGGACGGGAATAACAGCATCAAGGAGGAGAGAAGAATTTTAAATGGAAAAATATTGAAAAGAAAATCAGGTTTCACGGTCTGTCTCTATATATGGACAATTAGCAAAGCCTGATTTGATTTTTCCATTAGAACTTTCGCTCTCAAGAGAGAGGATGATTTCATCGCTTTAATTCTGCCAGCTTTAATGGTGAAAATTTAGTGGGTTGATATTTCAGTCCAAGTCGAGACCAGATTATATGTTACGAATGAATGGAACGGCCTATGGATGATCCGCAAGAGAGAACTGGTACTTTGTAAATCATGCTCGTTACTCAATTACCCGCATAGGTTTTTTGTTGTAAACTTAAGTGAAGCGAGACAAGAGAAGCTTAAACGTATACTAATGCTGACGCCAACCGTGTTCTTTAATAATAATCCGATAGTCGATTGCGTTCATCTGCAGCGGCTTTATGGTGCATTTCCTCCATGAGACCAACTTTTTTTAAATAAGAATTTTCATTCCAGCAGGCTGCAAAAGCAGAAGCACGAAGTGAGGAATAAGGCAAAAAATACTCTTTGACGTTGACGACGCCCTGGGACTTGTTCATGGCCTCCCGGAGGTGCTGCACAAGGGTCTCCCCACACGACTCCATCAGCAGGGACATCTGCAGGCAGAGACACATGGTCGCTCAAATCAAGGGTGCCCAAATTGGATGTTCAACGGGGCACTTTGTGTGCTGCATGCTACCCTTGGGGCCTCGCCATGGGCACTGTTATAAGCCCTTATGGTGAGCATGGAAAGGCTATTGAAAATGAGCCTTAGTTCAAGCGATGAGGATTCTAAATCGACTCATATATAGGCACAGAACAGCATCTGCAGGTTGAGTGGTCGGAAAACGTGTCCGTCCGTCTGATGTGTTGTCCAGTCTCTTGGAGCAACTCGACCAGGCATTCTCAACAAGAATATAGGCTGCAAGACATGAAGATTCCTTAACGATGGGTACTTGCATTTACATCAACCCTGCATTTATCCAAGCCTAAGACTTCATGAAAATAATTTAATAATCGGTCTGTTTTTCGGTGCGTGGCCTGCAGTGTGAGAGAGAGATGATGCACGGAGGGAGACAGACCTTCTTGATTTTGCCCGAGGAGAAGACGGGGGAGACGGCAGATCTCACGTCTTTCCATTCCTGACCCTTCAACATTGTCAGCATCTTCGACAACACCTTGTCCTTCATCGGTAGAAACAGCTGGGGGAATCCAAATATGCTATCATGAAATGACTCTTTTTCGGTTACTCCACCCTGTTCTATTGGAGTATACCCTGCGATCGGTGAAGTGATCAAACTCCTTGATGCCGATGTCCCTGATGAGATCTGGATCAGCGATGTTCCACACTGGTCGACTCCCCTCGAACGATCTTCATGGACCACGTAACAGAATCGTTCGCGTAAAACCATCAATATACTGTATGTTCGTGCATGTATTTATCGTCCAAAACCTGAACGATAACTCAATGAAGTTGAGTTATCTTAATTAAATTTAGTGCACGAGTTCGGACTTGAATACCATTAAATTGATCAGAGTTTCGAGGGTGCGGGGTAAATAATCATATAGAACAATTTTCGAAATGCTACAATTTTATTTCAGTAGGGACTGTGGTGTCATACGCCTGAAACGGTCATATACAAAGATTTAATTGATGAAAAGTGGCAGAAATTCTCCTAAAGATGCGTTGAAAAATCGCGTGAAGTTTCAATATCATCGGATCAGATAGTGGAAAGAAAACTTGCCGAATGCCTGAGGAATGGGGGAAGAGGGTGGTGCCATTGAGGATGGCAGCTTCCTTTGCTCCTCACCCGCAGCAACTTCGCCTGACCGTTGTCCAGAGTCTAACTGTGAGGCAATGTCAAGATGAATTCTCTGAAGTCAATTTCAGTAAGTTGTCAGAGTGTTCGATCGATGTAGGTTGATTGAGATGCAGGCATCAAGTTGATGCATGCTATGCATTCCAAGTGCCCAACATCGATCAAACGCTCTAAGAACTTCGTAAATTCCCTTCAGAGATTTCATCTTGACATTACCTCGCAGTTAAACTCTCAAGAATGACCCTATAGTGAAGCTGCATGAGGGGAAGAGAAAAGGAATCTGGAGTAATCAATGGCACTGCCTTCTTCCCCTATTCCTCAACCATTCGGAAAATGTTCTCCAAAATACCTCATTCTATGACAGAATCTATGACAGACTTTTAACACATGGGTGACGGGCCCCGAGAAATCTCGTAGTACGCGTAATCTCGTAGTAAAGGGTCATGTTTCCAAAGATACCATACTCTCAAGCACTACTAGCGGCACTCATACCAAATTTCGAGATAAAATCTTGGCTAGTTCAACATTTATGTATGCTTTTTATAATCTAGTGCACTCTAGTATTCTCAGTTGAAAAATGTCCGGTCCACAGGGGATGTGACAAGTCCAGGCACCCGGTCAACAATGTGTTAAGAGTTATCCTGCCATGTTTCATAAATAAAATCCTCGTAGGTGACCATATCGGGCGATAATTATGATCTTAAATGCTGTAAATTAAAAAAAGGTTTGGGTTGGAGCCATTTATTGCCGACAGTGAACCATTTTCCTCGAACCAAGCAAGCACTGAAACCGTTAGATTTCTGGAGCTACCAGGACCTCGGGGCATTGACAAAGCAGATAATCAATGCTATCATCTAGGACATTGACACGATCACTCCTCCGAAAAACTATGTAGAAAGTAAACTTATCCCAAGTAACACAAGATATTCCAGCAACGTTTAGGAAATGTTGATGAACAATGTCGCATCTATGTGTAAATGTCCAAAAAAATGTTGTACAGCAACTTGCAACATAGAGCAACATAGGCAACATTTCGGAAACGTTTCATCAACATGCTGTGTTACTTGGGATAGTGGAAAATGGTTCTAGGCAGCATAAAACATTGACTAGTATCAGGTAACCCTATCTTTATAGTTCAAGAGATACCGAGAGGTTCTAATGCGTCGTAATATAAAAAAGTTTTATAAGTGAGCTTAAAACCATTTCAAATGTTTGATCAAGTACTGGAAACTGCTTTGAAGACGTGAACCATCTAGAGGTTCTAGCCCCAACCTTATTTTTTATTAGAGCATAACTGCAACTGAAATTGGAATATTAGATAAGTTTTATTTATTATTATTCATTTCCCACAATTGAAACTCTAATCGATTTCATGGTATACCAATACGAGCTTGTGTATCAAATTTCATCTACATAGCCCAGTTCCTTCTCGGTCGTGCTTTTTTATTTTGCCGATGGGTATATATTACTTTACACGTGAGAATTGGGGACTGCATTGGACTCACCCCCAAACCTTCCCATATTTCTTTACGTTCCTCATCTCCCTCAGGAATTGTACCTGAAAGCACATACGGAATCAGGGAGAGAAATCCCTGCGAACTGTGGGAAATAAGAGATGGAATTCGCCTGACCTCCTTCCAGAAGTTCCAGAGATTCCCCACGATAGGATAAACAGGCTTCTCGGTCGGGATCCGCTGCTTCTTGAAGTAGTCGAACTGATCGGAGATCTTCCTGCCGGAGAAAGACAACAATAAAACGATATTAATATGTCAGGATGACAAGTCTGAGGCACATTCCTTGTGCAGTTTCACCATCAAAATTGTCTCATATTGGAAGACACGGAACAAGAATAATGTGCAGACCTTCGAGCTTTATGCTGCGTAATTCGTGTTCTTTGAACTTTCCCCTCTCGTGAAGGACGAGTGGAGCATTCCTATTCCTTCGCTGACGCTTATCAGCGTCAGCGAAGAAGTGAGTGACAGCCCCTTCGCTCCATCCATGGAGCGAGAGTGGCAGGACTCCTCCCTAACGGTATGAAACCCTGAATCCTTGATGCTTGGTACGAAACCAACACAGAAAGAGACTCGTTCAGCAAAATCTTTGAGAGGAGCGAGACGAAGCGAATAGAATGCTGACACTTTCTAATCTTGGGTCTTCTGCACATTAGTGTCATGAAAGTCGTTCATTCATTTTATAATCTCTTCGGCTTTTCGTGAAATCGACAAAATTCAATATTTCCTTATTGACTCTTGAAACGGACACCCTTAATAAATTTTAAATCGAGATTCATGGTTCCTTTATTCGAAGGGATGCCTATAGAAACGCGCAGAGAAATGCACGGAGCGCATGCGCATACGACCCGTGGTTCAAGGAAGCAGGATTTCAGACTTCATCTGGCATTCTGTCGCTTGTAAGAGGTTCAGAGATGACCTCAAACTACAAAAAATTGTTTTGAAAACTGTTTCAAACTCGTTTTGAACTCGCTCCGAATATAGTATTCAATTTTAGAGGTCGGGACATAGAATATATTTAATCGCACTCGAAAGAATCAACAAGCAAGTTACTAAAGTCCTAAAGGAAGCCAGGCGACTCAAATCCAATTCCGAGCGGCGTCTGGACGCGTTGAGATTATTCGACGGCGTGAAGGTTTCGAGTTTTATCTCAGCGTTCAACAGCATCGACGATACTGTATCGAAATCTGTAGAAGATGTCTCCTCCTCGACGATAACAGAAGGACCAGGCAGAACCAGTCCAGCTTGCGCAAGCCTCAAGTAAGACTAAAATTGCGAAATGAACCTACTGGTCAGGTGGAGAATGCATTGAGCTCGTTCGATGAAAGCGTATAGCCCTTGTCCTTGCCCTCATTAGTAACTTGCTTGTTGATTCTTTCGAGTGCGATTAAATATATTCTATGTCCCGACCTCTAAAATTGAATACTATATTCGGAGCGAGTTCAAAACGAGTTTGAAACAGTTTTCAGGGGGGGGGGGGGGGGGGGGGGGGGGGGGGGGGGGGGTCATGGGGTCCAAACCCCCCACCCCCCGAAATTTTTTCTTTAAATGTTTGCCATACCGCTATTCGTCGGTGTAAACGGTGCAATACTTGGTCTTTTCTATCTTTAATAGCTATTGACCTATTAAACACTGCGACTTACAGGAAAATCCAGACAAAAAAACTTGCAATGACAAGCAAACAAAATAGCCACAGCGCGTGCGCCAGACCTCATCCCCCCCGAAATGAAATCCTAGATACGGCCCTGGCAGTGTGTAATGGTTAATGGAAAGGTGTCGACGGAAGTCCGGATTGAAAGCAGCGTCCCTCAGGGCGAGGTTCTCCGACCCTTTCTTTTTCTGATCCACAGTACATTAACGATTAAGATCAAGGCCAGATAATCAAAATTTGTTTCTCCATCAGTAGGAAGAGGGAGAACTAATTGAGAACTAACGGGTCCCGATAAGGTCCAGAAGCGGGCCAGTCGAGTAAGGTAAAGGAGGTCATAGGACTTCCATACGAGAAGCGTTTAGAAGTGTTGGGATTGTACTTACCCAAGGGAAGGTTAGAGGAAGATCTCATCCAGTCATTTGACATTGTAAAAGGAACAAGAAAGTAGACAGTGATAGGTTTTTCCAGTTCGATGGCAGCATCAGAAAGAGAGGGAAACAACGTAAGTTGCCTAACCCCAGGAAGCTCAAGTTACGACATGACTTCTACACTTGCAGGGTAGTGAACGCGTGGAATCTGTAATACGGTATTGTAATGGCTGCTCCTTCCGCGACTAGCTTCAAGAGGCGGTTAGATACCTTCATGGACAAAAAAAGGAAACAATGTGGAAGTGACTAGGCAATAAGTAGAGATACTCCCACAAAAATATTAGTATTTATGGGGGTTGGCCTGTTTGACACATTACACGATCAACCTTGACACGGGATGTCCTAATGTGCAGAAATGCCGCTTCATGTCCCTACCCGCCGGCTGCAGCTGGACAGCATGGCGCGATTGGTACTTTTCTTTCGGTTTTTATTTTTTTTCCACGTAATAGTGTCAGTTTGGGTAGTAATGGTGATGGGCATTTTATGAAATTTCTTGATTAATTCGTCTGAGTACCGGAGCATCTGAATTAATGCGTTTCCAATACTACATAAATGGTCGGAATATAACTTTGTTGCTCGAATATGATTGGAAAGCTCCCTTTGTTTCCTTTCCTTCAGCATGAGAACTTTTGCAGGAGTCGATACAGGGTCATGAGGGATGGAGAGAAAATGGGCCCCATTTCGACCAGTATGAGCGAAAGGGTGATGAAGACAAAGATTTTATGACTTCACAAACAAAGGTGAGCAATATAGTAAATATCCACTCCAACATATCAATTTTTCATTAGATGAACGATTTTTAGTGACCGCTCCAACTCAACCCAGGATGAGAAAAAAAAGGCAAAAAGGTCTCCATGTCCCAACCCGAATCGTAAAACCAAGAGCCTTTAAATGAATGCATAGATTCTATATTAGTCTACGTAGAAATAGTAGCGATTTTTCCTTCGCTATGCCGAGCTTCGGAGCTTCTAGGCATCACACTCGAAGTTCTTTGGCACCTCCAGTCCCTTCTCGGAGGTAGAGAACTAAGAGTATCTCGTTTCTTTTATTGTACCTCTCCCCGCTATTACGCAAGGATCACTTCCCTTATCTCCTTCCCCTCACCTCCCCATCCACAATGATAGCGAGCATGTCACCGCGATTGTGAGAAGAATGTCCATTCTCGTGAGCACAGCTTTATTTGGAATATCCAAATAAGAAAAGGATATGGCATGATTGAAGGTCGCAAGTTCGACGCAATGAATCGTCCTAGGTCCCAACCCATGACTCCCTGCAATCCATTAAGGAACACCGACGTCGCCTATTTCTCTATCCCACTCTATTGTCAGATCATTCTTCATTTAAAAAAAATTTACCTCTTTCGCTTCACCGTCGAACTCTGACAATATCTAAGAGCGAATATTTAGAGCAGAGATCTGACTGTATTCCGTGCTTGCCGGTAGTGGCAAGGGCTATTTCTTTGCGTTACCTTATTCACACATGGAATGCAAAAAGTTAATATTTCTTATATATCGTCGTAAAGTCTAACAAAAGGGTTATAAGTATACTTGAAGTAGCTCAGGAGGGCAGTTTTAACATGTTTTTTTGGATTTAAAATTATATTTGAGAAATACACCTTTGTACCTAAGCTGACTTGGACCTGAGCTGACCGAATTCCTCAATTAACATTCTTCTCTATAATAAAAAATAAAATAAATTAAATGTTGCACTCCTGAAAATGTTCAAATTTGCATATTCAACATTTTTTAACTGAGAGAATATGAATCTAACTGAACTTTGCAAAAACTGCATACAATCTTCAGAATGCAATATGGAAACGGAAACTTGCCTGTAAAGGTAAATAACGAGAAGAATGAAGGCGGCGACCAGGAGCAGCATCATCCTGACCTAAACAATATGGGGATTGCGCACAGAGGAACACACGACACAGAAGAACGGAGCCAAGTGATTCGACTTCGCTGGAGCTCTCCGTCAGCTGTTGAAATCAGAAGAGTAAACACGAGGGAGGTGAGAGGGAACGACTCCCAGTTCTCTCTCTCTCCCTCTTAATCTCTCACTCGCACCACAGTCGCATGGGTCCGTTTTCCTTGCTGTTTCATCCGACATTGAGGGGGGTCACTTAGTAAGGGATGAAGCATTGCTGTTTTGGTCTCCTGAGCCCCTCCCTTCCCCATGCATGTATTAATGGTAGATGGAAAGGAAGTTACTCTGGGCTAACTAGTTGGGAAAGAATTTCCAGTATCTATGGAAACTACAGCTTTCCCTCTGTCAATAGAGAAACGGGTCTCGCAGATAGAATGAGGAGTGGGTCATATCCCATCCCAGCACGAAGCAATTGATAGGATGTGTGATGTTAAGAGTATTCACATGCTCTAATGAGCCGTAAAAAAGTACGACAAGTGACATCCAAGACCATGAATCGTCGGGATGCAGATTCCCTTTGAGGGCTTCTGGGTAATTCTTTTTTATCCTCATCTCACAACTTTATTACTGGCGATATTAACAGATGTGGACTGTCTGTTTCTAGCCTCTAGTATGAAGAAAAAAGCCAGTTACATTTTTCTCCACCATCCATGGGGCTAGGATTTAAATATCTTCAGTAGAATCATATTCTTGGAAATATTCGGATACTAGGATAGGTGAGACGAATTCCGACCGTGTCAGGTCCGCCCCTACATTGAATAACTCATCGTAACGAGGAAACCTACCGGCAGTTTTCAACCAAAGTACATTCATGTTCGGTCAAAATATGAAAGGACATTAAATGCATTCTTCTCACGAATTGTTATAGATCTCAAAGAAAATGCATACAATGTACTTCCAAAAATAAATTTTAAAAGCGATATTTACAAACATAGACGATAACTTCAAGGGAGTCTGATTTCTTATCTCTTACCTTTTCAGGGATTGAATGAATAAACTTAGCGCTCTGCTGACACTTTAAAAGTTGGTCTATGTGAGGTTTCGTCAGAAAATTTTGACTGACCAAACCAAAATGTTGAAGGTGATTTCATTTGTATTGGGTTTGCTTTTGAAAATATGCTTCTGATCCCACGGTGAAGGACGACTTTAGAATCAGGTACCTTCAAGTATGCGTGCGACGTGCACACCTTTTCCTCGCAAATCAAAAGAGATAAACATTTCCAGAAAAAAATTGTATTCACCGACTTAAGCAAATGAGGGGCAAAGAGGGAAAGATCAGGGCAAAAAATCACTGCAAAACCTTTGTTAAAGCAAAGCATGAAATCCATACTTAGGGGATGTACATGAAATATCCCGCATGTGATCTCGACGAGGCCCATTCAAATTCGATTCTCCAGTTTCACTCTGATTTGGCTGGTTTTGTCTGGGAAGGCCCCGAACACTCCCGCTGCGAACTTGAGAGGCACCTGTAGCCAAGATTCAACATTAGCATTCATAGAAACATTCCTTTGCATGTTGACATAATCGAGAAGAGACTGCTTAAACTGCTGCTTCAGCTGCTGCAGAATGCAGATTCCCCGATGAGATGTTGCTATTCTTACATCTTCCAGAGGACCTCTAACCACAATTACTTATACGCCAAACTCTTCCAGCTATTCAACCGGCGAGATAAGAAGTAGAAGTGAGGGATCCAACTCCATGGTCTTCACTAATCCCTTTGCTTTCCCGTCGTTAAAAAAAAATTCTTATTTAGAAGGACGTACTCAGATCCTCTCCCAAAAAATTGTTAATATTTTTAATTTAATGAAATGACCCCCACTAACTCTGTACGATCTGTCAAAGCGACGGAGGAATCGATCGCGTTCTAGCTATATCCAACAATCTGAAAGTTGCAAACTCAGCGAAAAAATCTTCCTTGGCTATGAAACGGGTGGGTGACTCAGTGAATCTCAAAGTTTGCGAACATTCATGTGCATTGCATTTCTTCCACTATCTCCACGCGGTAAATGATATATGCATAGAAAATGGGAGTTCTTTATCCTTCAAGTAGACTCACTCTGACAAGTCGCTATTTCGACGATGAGTTCACCTTTTCTTGGTTTTTCTAATAATTCTGGTAACCTCATAACGAGGGCATGAAGAACTCACAGGAGTTTCCTCGCATTTGAGGATACGGAAGGAATGGATGAGGTGGCACAGTGCCAATTTCCCTTCTTCGAGTGCAAATCTCATTCCGATGCAATTTCGGGGGCCAATGCCAAACGGGAGAAAGGCTCCTTGCGGTATGCTCGACTTCATTTCCGGGGAAAACCTATTCAACAATGAGTTTTACTCTAAAGCGTATTCGAATTGCAGTAACCATGATTCATTTCACGCTGCAGTACCACAGATTTGCCTCTACTTTATAGGAGTGGCAGATAATCTCCAAAAGTTAGCCTACTTTATTAAGGATTGCGGGCATTCACATGGATTATACATGAATACATGCAATTTCAATCATTCCGTGAAACCTTGTCCGAGTTTGGCTGCAGAAGAGGATCATTAAATATTGGTGGCTAATATGAAGAGATTGAAGAAAAACTATGCAAAACTTCGCTAAAAATGTCCAAACGTTTGGTTCTCTTTTCCAAAGCCAAATACCCGCATTCTACTGTAGAACTCTGTGTAATTTTGTTTCAAGTGACTAGAGTGGATTTGTTCAATATGTAAGCGCCTGAATTGTGACAATCTATTTCCCATCGAAAGAGGTTTCAAAATTTAACCAGAATATATAAAAAATACGGCATGAATTATAAAAATGTTACTTATCAATAAGAAGTTTAAGAAAAGTCTATGTAGGAAAATATTTGACACAAACTGATTTTTTCCACAAGAAAAATTATATTTATAAAAGTTGCAAGCGGACCAATTGTGGGAATTCATGAATTGTTAAAATGAACTCATATGATAGACTGGAACAGCCAAAACACAGGAAAAAAAACGAAATCACTCTACAGCCATCACTTAAATATAATGTACATACAATGTATAGAAAACACCAAGGAAAAAGCAATGATTATAACTGAAGTCTGAAGAAATTGGGTTTCCTAAATTAAATTTATTGACAACGTCCTTTTCGTCGGTTGTCAAGATAATGCAGGTAGACGATGACGGTTGAGCTTTGAACTAAAAATTATATGCAGATTTGGTACAATATTCTCTTGTATGTCTGGAACTCTCAAGATCAATCAAAACAGGAACATTCGCTGTACTTCATCTTACGTGACTGCATTCATTGCGTGATACTGTTGACCTCAAATTTCCATCCATTCAATGGAGAAGAGAAATAAAATCTGACCATGGTGAATTTTAGAGGTGAATATTACGTATTTAATTTAACTCCACTTCGTATTTGCTGATTCTTACTTAAATTGGATATTTTTTTAACTTCATAAGGAGACAACTTCGAGATCAAGTCAGAACTTGCTCAAAACTTTTTATAATAAAAAAATTATCTGTCTCTCTTTACTATATGGATGCAAAAACATTAGAACACAGTCAAGGGAGTATACACCCCGTCCTTTGCCTAGACCTCTGCTCGTAGGAAAGGACTTCCCATTGAGTCAATGTTTGCTTAAACTCCGGTTTTCACCTTAGTTTCTCCAAGTGCAGCAACTGCCAACGATTACATATTTTAAACCTCTCCAGACAAATCTGCAGAGTATATGACCTATCAATACAGTTTCATCTGACTGCTTATATGTGAAAGACATGTGAAAGACGAATTTAAATAAGGGGATTTTAGGTGGTATTCGTTGTTTCAAGCATCCACAATGAGCAACGGGATGGTAGAGAAAGGGAAAGCCGAACCGTTCTGGATCGAAGATTTCGGGATCACGATAATAATCAGAACAATGATGAACAACGTAAGCAGGGATGCCAATCAAATCTCCTTTCTTGAATTCAATTCCATCTATGATGCAGTCCTTGGTACATTCCCGTTCCAACCTGTAACATTCATCATAAATGTTTTACACATGTTATTTCCTCTGAAACGTCTACATAAAAGCCCATCCAAAATTATGGAATGGATGAATATCAAAAATAATAATAATTGTTTTTCTCGAAGCCTATGTTCAAGTGCGGTGACCTTGTTGAAGGTGATTTTCAATATTATTTTAGAAGCCTCTTTCGTGTTTTTCGTGTTTTTCACAGTTTAAAAATCGGTTAAAGAAGCATGTGCAGTATTGAACCCCACGCCGATTTCGAGTTTAAGAAAAATCATTTGAAATATTATACTTCGCAGAGCTCAAATATGCAGTTCTTATTCAAATATGATATCAAGGGTATTCCAATGGGAAATTTCAAACATAAATTGTCACATGATTGGTTCAAGTTGAGCATCGTTGAAGTCGGCACGAGAAGAGAAATGAATGAGAATTCACAATTGTAGAAATTGTAGAAATGTCCAGGAGGGTCGTGCTACGGAATCACCTGTCAAAGTTCAGGTGACCGGTTAATGGTGCACTTCCTTGAATCCAGCTCATCAAGCTCAGAACAAGAATTGGGGGGATAGGTTCCCTGGAGGTGCCTCGTTTTTATAAAATACCTAGTGAAGGAAGTTCATCTTCGGAAGTTGCCTTCATGCCCTCACCTAGACGCTTCAAAAGCCCTCAGTTGCGCATTTAGACTCTTCGAAAGAGCTCTACAATCATTCAAATTTTCTTTAAGGCCAAGGACACAAGAAATTTGAGCAATCATTATTGAATCTCTCCAACTGGTCTCTCATGTGCGAGAAACCTATTATGCTAAAGAATATACAATTTCATCAACATAATTTCAGGCATCAGTAGGCGCAGCGCATATTCCATTTCTTCAACCCCTTCATGTCACAAAATTTAACCTCCTCGTATTCCTCTCTTGAGAGCATCTAGAGGAACGAAATTGCCTTTCCCTCTCAGAACAGAATTTTCGATGAAACTTGAATCTTCAATTCCGCGGGGTTGCGGAGAACACTGTTTCTCGCTTTTCAAGATTTGAAACATATTTCGGTATTTTCCCCCCTCCCCTTGGAATTTCCCAATTTACCCCTCCTGGGGTAAATTCGGAAAAAAGTACTCCAATCAAATGAAAGATATTGACTTGTAGATAACGAAAAGTGCCCTTTTGTTCTTTGCAATGCATCAGTTCTCTATGAAAATGAAATTGGCTGCCATTCATTTAGGTTTAGAGTGCGGGCTTCAGTCTCCTATTGTTGCCGGATATCATGCTGCAGTTATGTGGGATTCGTGAATGCTTCGACGTTCACCCCTGTATCTGGATCATGCGTTTTTTAATGAGATATTTTTGTGCTGAGTTCATGAGAGAAACTGAGATTGAAACGGTGTTTAGCAGTGGCCTATCCATGTGTTGGGAAATGGAAATATCGTGCACGGACATCCCTATGCAGAGCATGACGCCCAACATGCATTTCAACCCTGAAGCATGCACTCCTCAGACCAAGGCAAAATGGTTTCGAGGAACTACAGATAGGCATAACGTTACACGTCTTCATGGACATGTTTCGAAGACCCCGGGATTGATCCTCATAGGCTTAGTTTGTCCGTCAGTCGTGGGTTGAGATTCTTTTGATAAAAAAAAGGTAGACCTGAAGAAAGTTCGTGGGTTAGGCCCTGGCCTAACGTTAGTGAGCCCCATAGGGAAGAGGGGAAGGGAGTTGAAGAAAGGGTAAATCCTTTTAAAAATGGTTTCCCCACTACTGAATTAAAAAGCAAAAAATTATGTGGTTTAGGGAGAACGAGGTTGTGAGACTCAAACGCACCGACTCGCAGGGGTATAGAAGCGAAAGGTTTCGTTCACCACTTGGTCCAGGTACACGCAAGCGTTCACCATCTCGTGATTGATTCCACCCTGTCCAAGATCATGTCATTTGCTTTTCACTAGAATTTTCAGAGTTTAAATGAAATAGATATTCAATAATGATAATCTTATCGGGAAAAAGGAAAATCATGGAACGGGAGCAATTTGATCCACCCATTTTCTCCACGTTGCAAGCCTATGCGATCTGAATAGCTTCGGATCCTAAAGGAAGTGACGGAAAAGTGTTCGACTTGTAAATGCTGCAGATATTGAGTTCCTTTTTCGCGCAAGGGGAGGCTGAAAAGCCTTCCCTTTCATCACAGGGTATATTAATGGATGAAATTATTTATTTTCTTTTTGAAATAAATAAGATTCATAGTTGAAGCAAGAGGCCAACGGGGATTGTCACTTCTTTTTCAACTATTAAAGCAACGTATAGAATGAAATTTCATTAGAATTTTACGGAAAATTCGTGAATATGAACTAATTTACAATTTCCCCTGAATTATCACCAGATGGGAATTAAATCAGTGATGAATTTTCAATCAGAAATACTGTGAGCAACGTTGTGATGCCATTGGATCAAATTATCTCCGAAGACCATTGCAAGGCCACTTATTCCTATAAGGTTTCTGAAGGAGAACCACGAGATCATTAACCCTTCAAGCTGCTTTCACTGTCACCGTACGTTCATCACATAGGTCAGGTCAAAACTCAGCGCTTGAATGGTTAATGGATCGAATTCCAATTGATAGACGGACACTACACTGTTCGTTGGCACGATTGATTCAAAAGTTTAGTTAACTATTTAATTAGCTGTTACGATGGACCACATGCCTACAATGCGGTATCGATTGTACTCACTGGAAATGAACACAATTCATAACATGTCAGTCATAGAAAAAAGTACAGGAAGCACTGCTGCGAGAAGAAATGGTAACATCAAATTGGATCAGGCATGAACTTGGAATTTGGTTTTCACCCCTTCATGTTTAGATATGCGAAAAACCTATGAGTAAAAACCACATACGGGCTTGGTAAAACACGACAGTTAAAGTATTTTTCACAATTCGGCACGTGAAAACCTGTATTTAAGAGTGCTTTCATAGAAGGTCTCAGAGATATACAGGGTGTCTGTAAGGCCGCTTTAACAATATATTAACTAGTACTGTGACTATTGAGCACCAAAATGGGAACTTGGACATTAGCTTCACAAAATCGGGGGACAGCATAACATGGGGGGAAAAACCACATGTCTGATCGGGTGCACTGCAGATAAGACGTCATTTGTATACACAGTAGGTTTATATACCGTATGAATAGGAAACTGCACAAAGCAACTTTGAAGTGCCGAGCTTGTCATGTCGCATTTGCGCTGAATTCATTGGAGCGATGGTACTACGATGATTGCTTTGCTATGTATACACATATCACACGAGCGGCACCTCCCACGAGATATATGCTTTTTGCCTGTAGAATACTTCCCCCTTAATTCTGTGAAATTCTCCGAGTTTCACTGCGCTGCGCTGCATAGTTTTCATGCTAGAGGGCATTAAACGTCCAAGTGACTTCAAAATTACCTTCCAAGTATTGACGGGTTCCTTTTTTCTTTTCACTAGGAAATAATTATCTTTAACGGCATCTCACAACGACGTCCACTTACAGTAGTCATGCTACATTTGTGCTATGCGCCAATGACATCACAGTAAAAAATCATTCAACCTGCTACTAAGCGACGTACATGTTCTTCCATTTTCTTCTCTATCTCCTGATACAGTCGGTCTTGGATATCTGGATGAATAGCGAGCACGTAGGAAACGAAGTTCATCATGGACGCCGTAGTGTCGAACCCAGCGACGAAGAAGATGAGAGACTGAGCTACGATCACTTCCTCTGTAATCACCTTCTCGCCTCCTGCCTCCCTTTCCTTCTCTTCTTGCTCCATCATTGTATCCAGGACATCGCCTCGTTCCTTTTTCGAGATCAAGCAACCGATACGGCGTCATCCTTTGGGGACTGGTCTCTGAACATCGAATGTTTATTTTTCATTCCGCTTGAAAAGGATCTGTTGATGTTATTCTGCAGAGTATTCACATTACAGAATAAAGGTCAGAGATACTTGGATGTTAGCGTTTGATGGATCGAAAGCTCACTGTTGGCTAAGTACCATGAATAAGATATTTCGACCTCCCATGAATAGATCCATGGTGTTACACAGAAAATTCAATGCCTCAGTTTGATGCATTTCACTCGCAAAAAAAATCTGTCCTCAACGTGATGTGTCTTTATCGCATTAAATTTTGGATGCGATATAAACGCATTACATGCAGGACAACTTTGTTCACGAAATAAATGCATTAATTTGATTCTGGGTGTATAGGTCAGGTATATGATGCACTTTTGTAGCAACGAAATTAGGTTTGTAGGTCCAGCATTTCAGCAACACCAAAAACGTTCGTGCATTAAAATGATGCATTAAAAAAATACGTGGCATGCCTGATACAGGATTTACATGTAATTCTTTATATCAGAAGCAGTAGAATCTCACAAGACCCAGGTTGAACTCGGCTAAAAAGTGCATCTTTAGCTCTGTAGAAGGCATCATTTTGATCAATTTTTTATAACATTCGCCAGGCCATGTGGGGTCAATTTTGGACCTCATGCAGTACTACTTTTGTACTGAAATGCCTGCAGCTGCAATAAAGACTCCCCAATTTGAACAGGCAATGAAAGGTATTCTATTGCGGATCAATAACATTGGAAATATGACTGAAAAGTGCAACTGATGTCCATGGAGAAATTTCACAAAAGGCCTGGGGAAGCTTAATAGATTCGATCACCAGAAGCATCACATCATAGGATTAGGTGAACCCCTTGAATATGGTACATGAGGAAAAAAAAGTTGTGCTCATGACATGATGCGAGCAATGAAGCCAGAAATAACTATCTTCTCAGAATATTACTTTATTTTATGCAAAACCAAATAGAAAAAAAAACTGAATACGCCACTGTTAGTACCCCACTCATCCTCAAAACACGCACACAAAGGAGCAATCCATCTATCGCATATAGCGACACCGATAAGCATTGTTATTAAAACCATCTGATGAAGGGTGTCCTCTGGAGTCTGAGCTTTTTTTTCTCCGTTTTCCTCTACCATGTGGTAGAGGTGGTACTACGAATTCAATCCGAAAATAATTTGCGAGTGCACCAATTGATTCAAGACGATAGGCTGAAAATACTGGTATTCTTTAACGTCAGACAAACCTATTGTAGGAATGCAGTGGCTTTTGAGCTTAGAGTCCGAATGTACAAACCTCATTTAGGGGAGATAACGGGGCCTTTTAGCGAGGGAGCTATTTTTCTCCCATAGGAATCCATGTATTCTTAAAGGACTGTTAACTGTCTATAGTTAACAGTTGGATCTTACCCTACTGACGATACGTGTTGCACCACCAACGCACCAAACGGAAAACATACAACGTATGAAACTGGGCTCGAAAAATGAAGTAAGCGGTTACATGGGAATCCCTTCGAGACACACGAGCTACTCGCACGGGTCGGAGGGAAGGTGAAGTGGCGAAGAGGCCATGCCCCAGCCATGCGCTCAGACGGTTGCGTGTGAATCCCTCGGCTGTCAATGCATTGCCCCGAGGGTTCATGGGGGGGGGGGGGAGTGGCCATGCACTCAGGCGGTTGCGTGTGAATCCCTCGGCTGTCAATGCATTGCCCCGAGGGTTCATGGGGGGGGGGGGGAGGCTTTCCTCAGCACGATGAAGTGGAAGACGGAGGTTGAAATGCGTCTAGAGCTAGACGATGCAAGACCACTCTAAACCTCTCTCGACTCGGTTATAGACGCCTTTCAGGTGACCCGGCATGGTCGGGAAGCGAGTAACGTACAAATCGAAAATCCAGTTCATGACTTTTTCACTTGAGAAAAATTAATTGAAATGCGAAAATTGAGAGAATTATATCGTCTCCATTTACCGATTTCTCTGAGCGTAGGGTGGAGTCTGGAGATCTGCTGCAATGAGTCATGTATAATTTACCTAAGACTTATTCTGTATAGCTTCATTTCAAAGACTTTCAAATCTTCTGTAACGCAAGAGACTCAGCGAAAGAAACACATCTATGTTTCGATGAGCTGTTTCATAAGCTTCATTTTCATTGTATTGACAAGAAAAGCAAGAAAACCATAAATCTAAAGATTTCTACTCGTCCAATAAATCATGGAGATTGGATTGGAATACCTTAAAACACATTCCAGTTTTTTTATTGTTATTAAATGGTGGTTGTTTGTCTAACTGAGATTTTCTTTAGGAAATTATTGCATGAATAGTCTCAAATTTCAGCGCGCTAGCACGTACGGTTCTCAAGATATTAAACTCCAAAGTGAGTCCCATGGAGAAAAAGTAACTCCGTGGGTCAAACTAGTTCAAAACCTCCTTTCTAGCTCAATTAGGGTCTTCGGCCCTAATTGAGCTAGATAAAGAGGTTTTGGAGTCAAATGAAAGCTGAGGAGATATATAATTTATAAATATTACAGAATTAACATCGAAATTACGAACGGTGGGAAACACGGCAACATTGCAATACAAGCCAATAACAATTAAAAATAGCTTGATCTTATCCACTTACAAAAAAAAAGTCAACTGAACTTGAAATTCCTTTTTTCATTTTAAATTCATTTTGGTAACCTAAATGTTTTTTGTTTTAAACAAAATAGAGACTTGAATCTATTTCCATGCGGAAGCCAAGTCCAATTTCTCTCTGTCAATGTAAGATTTACGTCCTTAGTTTGAAATGTCAAGTTTATGGGATTTTTTGCACTTAAGTACTCCCCAGATTTTATCTTGAAATAAGTTATCGAAATTTCCAACAATTGGATTCCTGTTGACAAAATCAGACCTGGAAATACCTTCACAGTTCGTTCAACAGCTTTGGTTCCTTTGTCTCACTTTGTTTCATGAAATAATTTTTCTTATTAAATTTTTAGTATTCAGAAAGTTTGGTGAAGTTAAGTTTGGATACATTATGTCGAGTTGAATTGTATTTTAAAATATTAGGGTTTCCAGAAAGCCACTATAGCATTTCAAACTGCAATATTTTCCAAATTCCTCAAGCAGGTCACTGCTACTTTGATTGATGGAAAGAACGTGCAATTTATTCAAAATTATGACTTAGAATCAAACTCAAAAGGAAACTGCTTCAAATGCATGTTGTAAAAGTGTACTTGTTTTGGGAAATGAATGGTAGACCTTTTGAATCCTCCTAATTTCTGATAGACTTGTGAAAATAAACAAAAAAAAACAAAAACATTTCGTTTCTCTTGCTTTCGCATTTATGAGAAATTGCCTCGCAATTGACGTTCTTTATGCGATTCTTTCAAATGGTAAAGCTACTTATGGGTCACCCTGCATAATATATGGAATTTGATGCACTCACATGTCCCTCGGTCTTCCGCTGCTTCATGATGTCCACGGCAAGATCGCGGAAGAAGTAGAGGGGTTCCATCGGGAAAATATTCAGACCCAACTGCATCACCCATGGGAACATGACTGGAATCAGGTTCGGAGACGACAGACAACATCAAACAGAAGAAAAAACGGTCGGATTTCTTTCCAAGATACATGTACTTTTAAACTTTTGTCCGCGATGGAAAGGAACTGCACGACGCTGGAAAAATGTGGGAACGAGAAACCAATTGTCCATTTTCCAACTCTGATATCGGCGGCAGTTCATATTATCTAGTCTCTGCGAGTGATGAAGCCCTCAACTACATTCTCTACACTCGGGGAGAAGTAATTCTCCCTCATTTGTTGAGAACCTGATGACTCCTTAATTTGCTAAGCCAATCGATGCCTTGGAGGGCGGACTCACAACTGAAACCCATAGATGCCATATTTATTTTCAATTGCCCGCTCTAGGCGATGGGGGAATAAATCCCGCAACCTGGGAAAACTCCCTAAATAAATGCCACCAGTTTAATCGAGCACACCTCATTGCAATGACTGATGTACGCTATTAAGTCCACTTCGTACTTGGGGGAGGGGGGGGGGAAACGAAAGGGGCTGTTGGAAACTCAAGACAGTGAGCATCTCCCCTCCATTGGGGGAAATATTAGGAAAATTAATTAGTGGAATATGGACCCAGAAGTTCAAAAACGCCTACAGATGGGAGAAGGAAGGGAAAGAGTGGAACTGGAAGACTGGAAAAATGAGCAAGTATACCTACATTGGGAAGAAGAACCATGAGAATTTACATTTGCCGCAGTGGATATAATTCTAATAGATTTCCATGGTGGCAATGGTGCTAGTCCCACCCAGACCAATCTAGGCGATGGGGGAATGAACCACGCTCTCGAACCAAACCTGACAGAGATTGACTAGACTATGGGGAGTTAGCCTGCAGAAAAGGGGCAAGGCTGAAGAAAGCTAAAAGAGGAAGGACAGTTAAGAAAAATCCCAGAAACCGTCGAATCTCTCCAGGTACCCCCGCCATCTTATGACTGGAATCGCACGAGGGAGTTAATAGCAGACCCATAAAGAAGGAGAGGGCAAAAGAGGGAATTTACCCTGGACCCCATAGCCGGAGGAACCCCACGCTGATACGAAACTCACTATCCCGTAGAAAGCACTACCGTAGTGAAAGTTGCGTACGCTGAAACCACAACTAGTAGCCATTTTTACTATGCTAGTTACAACCGTCATAAAATCCGCGTACGGGGGACCCACTATTGTCACGCAAAAATTACTACTGGGACCTGAGACTGCAATGGGCTATAGGTTCGTAGCACTATCTCTTTACTAGTCATGCCTCCTGGGTCAGGGTGGGAGATTACCACTTCCCTGAAATCTTGCCCTGACCTGTCAGATACGAATCAGGTACAGGAATTGAAGCACTAAAGGATGAGCGCCAAGAGTACAGTTGCACCAGTTCAGTGGTTCTCGTGTGAAGAAAATGTATCTGTGGAGATATGGCTGACCATGATATGGCTACGAGTCGATCGCGACGTACTAGTAATTCGGCCATGGAGAGTACCCCGAGTCCATATGAACATGACTCTGTGAAACGCACAACAATAACTTGGAGTAAAGGTCTGAAATGCGAGAAGATACGCGTGAGAGGACACTGGAGGATGAAGAGCAAGGTGTCACCGTGATAGGATGAGGAGGCCTCAATGTTGACCCATGCGATTCAACATTCCAGATAGCGGGAGGAAACAAAATACAGACATCAGCCTCCAATGTGATAGCAATTTTAAAACTGCAACGACCTCGTTGATGTCATAAAAATAAAACATGTAAAAATAGATTAGTTCATGGAGGAGTTATTTTGGCGCGGACGTTGTAACATTTACGTAAGTTGATGTAACTACCAAAGCAGAATGGGCGAACGCAAAAAAATCTTTTTGGTAGTGAAGTCAGCTGCGAAAAAATTGCTTACGGTAGTCCCAATTCCATACTCGGAAAAACACTACAGTAGTCGGTTTTGATAGTCAGATTCGTGTATCACACCGGCACCCAGCCCCATCGTGCTATCCACTCCCTCGTGCGATTCCAGTCCCAAGATGGCGGAGGCATTAGTATCTCTCGAGGTAGTGAAGGCCTCTCCAGATACATCAACATACATTCTATAGTAACACCAGGCTTCTGAGCGATCAGTAAAAAGTATGGCTTAAAGACTGCAGCTGGGGTAATGATGGGGGTTTAACCCATGTAATCATAAAGCCATGTACCCGCGTACGATTACATGGCTTTAACCCCCGTCAAAAATGGTGAGTAGTTCTCACAAGGAATGATCATGAGGGGACTGCCAAAAAGGGGATTGTCGGCGAAGAATTTCCTGGCGTTTTTTATGAACGGGTCATTCTCCTTTCCCAAGCTGTCCAGTTTCGTGCCGAACGCACACGTCGCGATCACGTCCAGGGTGTAGGCTCCGTATTGACTGTGGAATAGAACGGTTTGTCAGTGATTCGAACGATGAAAGTGCAAAATGATAAAACTAAACGGCCAAAAAGGAAAATGACAAAGAAGGTACATTTAAAAATCAGGAGCAACAAGTGAATTGAAGTCTTACTCCTGTATGAAAATATGAGCGACCGGAAGAGATAACAACCATCTCGGAAGGCCAAAAGCATTTAATGGGAAAAAAACGAAGAGTCGAAAGAAAGAAGAGAGTGAATTGAAAGGAGGAAAGAATAAATATAAATCAGGGTTCATTGTCTGTGTACAGATAATGACATATAGAGACATTTGCAGACTGTGAGGCTTGATATTATTTTTCGAAGAGAACTTCCGCTCCCTAGAGAGAGGGACTTCTTGGTGCTTTTTTCTGCCTATTTTATGCTGAAAATTTATGGGAGTCATAATCCAGTCTTAGTGGAGACCTCTTTACGCGTTTCTAATGAATGGAACAACCTATGGATGTTTTATGAGAGGGGCCTGGCGCAAGGAACTTCGCGCCCAAGCACGATTATAGACCTTTTTTTGGAGATTTGGTGAAGCGAGACATAAGGAGCTCAAGACGTGTTCTAAAACCATAGCCAACTGAGTTCTTTCATTATAATCCGACTGCTCTCATCTGCAGCGGCTTTGTAGCGTATTTCCTCACGAGAGAGCAGCGTTTTAGGATCCCATACAAGCAAACCAGAAAAACAAAAGCACGAAGTGAGGGAGGAAGCAAAAAATACTCTTTGACGCAGACGACGCCCTGGGACTTGTCCATGGCCTCCCGGAGGTGCTGAACAAGGGTCTTCCCACACGACTCCATCAGCTGAGACATCTGCAGGCACAAATACAGGGTCGCTCGCTCTAAATTTTGGGTGCCTAAAAAGGATGTTCAGAGAGACATTTTGTGCGTTGCAAACCTCGCCTTGAGCATGCCTGTTCTAAATCCCCATCTTATGCATGGAAAGGCTATTGAAAATGAGCCTCAGTTCAAGTGGCGCAGATTTCAACCTTAGTCGTGTACAGAACAGCATCTGAATGTTGAGTTGTTGGAAAATGTTTCCATCTTTCTGATATGTTGTCCAGTCTCTTGGAGCAACTCGACCGGGCAGTCTTAAGAAGAATGTAGGCTGTATGAATCGAGTCTATATGACGATTATCTGGCAATGGGGTACCAAGCAGGCATTTCCAGCAGCCCTGCATTAATCCAATCCTAACTCCTCCTAAAACTAATATAATTCATCTGGTTTTTTCGGTTCGTAGCCTGCAGTGCAAGAGAGAGATGATATGCAAAGGGAGACAGACCTTCTTGATTTTGCCCGAGGAGAAGACGGGGGAGACGGCAGATCTCACGTCTTTCCATTTCTGACCCTTCAACATTGTCAACATCTTCGACAACACCTTGTCCTTCATCGGAAAAAATATCTGCGGACAAGATAGGCCATCATGAAATGACAGTTTCCCAATTTTTTTCTCCCTTTTTACTATTACGAGGGATTTTGGAATCTACCCTGCGATCGGTGAAGTGATCGAACTCCTTGATGCAGATGTCCCTGATGAGATCCACATCTGCGATGTTCCACACTGGTCGACTCCCCTCGAACGACCTTCATCGACCATGTAACATAATGGATCACTTAAAACTGAAAAAAACACAGACATGATTTTTTGCTAAAAAAAAGAAGGCGTAAAGTCGGTGTCGAAATTGGCAGTTGAAAGTAGAAAGTGAAGCAAAAACTGCAAATCCAAGACCAAAAGAGAATCGGGGAAATAGGAAAGATCGGGTTACATATAGAGTCTGGCCCTAATAATTTTCCCACCTGTTGTTATAACCAAGTTATTTTAATGCAGGAAAAGACAAATGAAGATAAGTAGTAGCGTGCGACTCTATTTTGGTACTTGGTCAAGTCATATTTTCCAACACGAAGAGAATCTGCCTTGCTTCGCATCGATTTGATGAGATTTTGTATCACAGTCAGGTCCATTCCCCCCCCCCCCCCATCCGTTTAATAGTTTCCACTCTCTTCACAATATAACACAGTGAAATTGGCTAGAGTTTCAAGGGTGTGGGGTGAATGTTCATAGCGAAATGTTGCCAAATACTCCAATTTTAATAGGAGACATGGGGTCAGGCAAATCGCTCGAGGCGGTCACTTACATAGATTTTGTAGACTCTAAACAGCAACTCTATAGTGAAGTTGGTTGTGGGGAAGAGAAAAGGAATTTATAGTAATGAATGGCACCACTCTCTTCTCGCATTCCTTGGGGATTCGACACGTTCTCTCTGAAACTTTCATCGACTTTTCTAGACATCCTGCTTTCCTGCCTTGTATTATCAATAAAAATGTTTCAAGTGACTGTTTCGGGCCGTTAGTATGACCCCCATACACAATAATAAAAAAAAGGCTCTGATCAGAACTATTTTTAGTTCTACAGAGAAACTTTCACAGAACCATTTTTCTGAAACCTAGTAGAAAAAATTTGAAACTGTTTGAATCTGACAGGATCTCAGGGCTCTTTCAAGAAAAATGCAATGACTTGAAACATTCGAACAATCACTCCTACGAATAACTTTTGAACAAATATATTGGAAATTGGTTATACATTACAACTATACAATTTCTTGTACATGATAATGCATACACAAGACTTTGACTGAGTTCGAGGCACTTCTTTCTTAGTTCAAGAGTGTTATAGTACGTCATAATATGAAAAAGTTTGGAAAGTGAACTTAAAACCTTCTTAAATGTTTTTTTGAGTAACGGAAACTGGCTTTTAAGCGTTCTACCATCTGAAGGTTCCAGTCCAAACCATTACTTATTTGAGAGTGCAGCCCTTTTTAAATAGGAGTATTTGACAAGTTTTCTCCATGATTATTCATCCCACGCCCTAGAAACTTATAAAATTCGTGGTATACCAGCATGAGCTAATGTACCAAATTTCATCAGGATCGCCCAATTCTTTCTTGGTCGTGCTTTTTCTTTGGCGAGGGGTACAATTTGCTTTGCACGCGAGGATTGGAAACTGTAATGGACCGTAATGGACTCACCCCCAAACCTTCCCATATCTCTTCATGTTCTTCATCTCCCTCTGGAATTGTACCTGAAAGCACACACAAAATCATGGAAGGAAATTCTGGTGAACTGTGGAAAATGGAAAGAAGATGAGCCCGACCTCCTTCCAGAAGTTCCAGAGATTCCCCAAAAGGGGATAAAGCGGTTTCTCGGTCGGGATCCGCTGCTTCTCGAAGTAGTCGAACCGATCGTAGATCTTCCTGATCGGAGAAAGGAAACAAGAAAAAGGCATTAACACAAAAGATCCCAAGTCTGAAGGGCAATCCTCGTACAGCATTACTATGAAAACGGTCTCGTATCAGAAGAACCGGATCAGGAACGAAATGCCGGTCTTCGAGGTCTAGCAGCTAAATTTGGGTTCTTCGAATTAATCTAACTTCGAACTTTCCCATCTCGTGAAGGATGAGTGATCAGTCCTATGAGGCGCTTATCATGGTCAACGAGGAAGCAAGAGACTTCGCATGGGACTGGTTAATGCATGAAGTGAAAAGTCGCAGGATATCCTGGATTCCTTTTAATGGTATGAAAGCCTGAAATTTTTCTGCATATCTGGTACGAAACAATCGACGAAACCCGCTCGGCGAAGTCTTCCGGAGGAATGCGAGGAAGTGAATCGAAATTCGACACTTCCTAATTTTGGGTTTTCTGCACGTGTCAATCAAGAAAATCGCCCGTCCATCTTGCAATCTCTTCGGTTTTCCACGACATCGACAAAATACAATATTTCTTTTTCAGCTCTTGGAAGGGATATCCCCAATAAATAATTATTCGAGAAAAAGGTTTCCTATTTTTGTGGGAAGTCCACGGAAAATTGTGGCTTGGAAATAGAATATATTTAATTGCACTCAAACGACGAAGAAAGCGGGTTACTAAAATAATAAAGGAAGCAGGGCCGTAACTAGGATTTCATTTCGGGGGGGGGGGGGGAGATGAGGTCTGGCGTAGGCCCTGTGACTATTTTTTTTTTGCTTGCCATTGTAAGTCTTTTTGACATATCTGAAATTTCCTTTAAGTTGCAGTGTTTAATAGGTCATAGGTTTAAAAGGTCATAGTAATAGGTTTAAAGATAGAAAAGACCAAGTATTGCACCCTTTACACCGACGAACAGCGGTATGGCAAAAATTTAAGGAATAAATTTCGGGGAGGTGGTTTGAACCCCATGAACCCCCTCCCCTATTTACGGCCTTGAAAGGAAGTACGGCGACTCGAACGTTAACGAGTCTCAACCATGCATTCAAAATAATCAGTGCTACCATATCGAGAACTGCGAGTCCAGCTTGCGCAAGCATACTTTAAGACTCGAATTGCGAAATGAATCTATGAAGCAGGAGGAGAAAGCGTGGAGCATGTTCGAAGAGCAAATATACCTTCTCCTTGTTTTAAATACGAGGGGTGATCAGAAAAAAAACTTTAAAACCAGCGTCCAAAGTGTTTGTATTTATTGCAACCAAATAATACAGGTGCTGCATAGAGTGTTCAAAGGGGAATACTTTTCCACATAATCCTCTTGGACTTTGAGGCATTTGTCCCACCGTGGTATAAGATTTTCAATGGCGACAATGTATAATTTCATGTATTGTGCAAACGACTATTTTTGCACCTTTTTCACCACCTCAGCATCTGACCGGAAATGACGGTCACCGAGATGCTTTTCCAGGAACGGGAACAGATGGAAATCACTCGGTTGAAGATCAGAGTTGCAGGGTGGACGCTGAAGGACCCCCAAACCATTCTGCAGCAGACTCGCCATGTGGGGACGAGCATTACCATGAAACAGAAACCCCCATTGTGTGAGACATCCTGGCCTTCTTCGTCGGATTGCTTCATGCTGGTGTTGCAGAGTTGCGTAGTGCCCATTAGCCTAGTCACTCTTCCTGAATCAGTTAATCAACACGAATGACGTTGTCTATTGTTGAGGAAGCGCAAGGCCTGCCACTGTTCTCCTTGTTATTGTCCTCGACACTCGTTCACCCGCAAGTTGTCTGCGCCATGCGGCTACCAGTTGTCGAGATGACATACCAGCCCCATACACCTCCAACAGCTGACGATGAATTTCCGCTGCGGAGATGTGCTTGGCCCACAAAAAACGGTCGGAATATTTAATTTCAACGCGGGACCATTTCTCCAAGCGCGTCGCCATTTTACGACTGCACTGATCACGTGACATGAGCGTTACAAGTGACGTCTCGCACATTTTTGTCACGTGCGACACCCCTAATATCCCTAATCTCACACCTACGCTAACTACCTCGTGGCTTTTCTGTAATAGGAGTTGTAAACTTTTTTTTCCGATCAACTCTCGTAGGTTTAAAGGTAGGGTTTAACCTTTCGGTATTTTCCTTTAAGTAAAAATCTGAGTTTCACTCAAGTGATGAGGAGGGCCATGCAAGCATTTCATCAATTTCGATAAGTGGAAGAAATTTTTGTCTCTGACCGTTTTTTGTGTCGAGTCTGGCCCGCTGTGATATACTTAAGATTGTGAGACTAAATATGACGTTTGACACTGTGAACGCATTGACCCTCCTCTCGTGGTAAACCAGTTGGAAGAAGTTTAGCAAGTATGAACCCAATTTCTTCGAAACCGTCGTTTAGACATGGCTGCAGCTCGGCCGGTAACTTTTCGACATTTCGATTTCCTAACTTATTCACCGGTAGTGGTGAGCGCAACCAGTTCAGAAATCCCAGGTAATCGACATTCCATGAGGATTTTCGATTTGGTGGGAGTTAGTACGGCACCTGATTTAGTGTCTGTCCAATAGGACTGACCATAAATGGTCGGAATAACAAATTTTCCCTGCTGGAATACGAACGGAGTCGAGTTGAATGGAGAGGGAAGTGCTAAGTGGGACCGATTTGGATCAACATGAGAGAAAGGGTGATGAAAAAGAAGCTTAATGGCTTCACAGACAAGAAAGTGATATTACGGTATGTACGATCCGTCCAAAATATCAATATTGGATGGGGGAACCGTATTAAATGATCGCTTCATCTCGACCCATTAAGAAAAACACGGAATTGTCACAATTTTCCAACCCGAACCGTAAAACCTGGAACCTTTGAGATTGAATGCGAATATTCTATGAAGGTCCCCCCCCTCCCCCTGGGACCATAGAACTAAGAGTATGATAAGGATATCATTTCTTCTTTTTTTTCTGTTTTCCCTCGCTTCGCTATTGCGTAAGGGTCATTTTCATTTATCACCTTCCACTTGCCTCCTAATCAGAATAGCAGCCAGTGTGTCTCCGTGGATGTGAAAGGAATCTCCACTTGTGTACATATGCGCACTAGCACGCATATGCACACGGCTTTATTTGGACTATCCAACAATAAAAATGCAGCGGCATGATTGAAGGTCGTGAGCTCGACGCAGTGAATCGTTCTTGGACTCAATATGTTTCTGCAATCCATTGTGGAACTCCGACGTCGCCTAATTTCATATTCTAATCTACTCTCGGATCATTTTTCCAAATAAAGCTCTTACCTCTTTCGATTCCCTGTCAAACTCCGACAGTATCTAAGAGCGAATATTTACGGCGGAGATCTGACTGTATTCTGTGCTTGCCGGTAGATGGCAAGAGCTCTATCTTCGCGTTATCTTGTTCAAACATGCAGTGCAGAAGATTAACATTTCTTGCGTCTCGTCGCAAAGCTTAAAGAGGGAAATAAGTACATTTGAAATTGCTCAGGTCAGTTTTAACATGTATTTCGGATTCAAAAATGATCTTTGAGGAACATACCGCTGTATCAGAGCTGAGTCAGAGTTACATGGGTCGAATTCCTCAATTATCATTCTTCTCTTTACAGAAAAAAAGGCAAAACACGCAATATGTTCAACTCCTGGTAATGTGAACAATCGCATCAATAGGCGCGGTAGCGCCTATTACCTTTCTTCAACCCCTTCCCGCCGCAAAATTCAACCTCCTCGTATTCCTCTCTGAGAGCATCAACAGGAACGAAATTTTTGTATACTTCTTCCTCTTTCACCACGGAATCGCTCCAGCGAATTTGAAGCTCCATCTCCCCGGGGTTGTGGAGAATACTGAATCTCGTTTTTGGAAGATGCGAATTTCATTCCTTTTTTTTTCTCCCTTCCCCCCCCCCCCCCCTGGGTAGCCACTCCTAGGGGGTTTTCGGAGGAAAGAGACTAACCATAAGAAAGATATTGACTAGTACATGACGAAAAGTGGCTTTTTTGCTGTTTGGGATGCTCCATTTCGCCATAAAAAATGAAATTAGCTGTCGTTCAATTTGGCTGAAAGTGCTTGCTCCGGTACAGTCCCCCAGTGTTGCCGGATACCGTGCCGAAGTTATGCCAGATTCAAGAATTTTTCAACCTTCGTATTAGCGTCTGAATCTTCTGTTTTTTAATGCATGAGACATTTTTGCGCTGAGTTCATGAGTTGAGTTGAGAATGAAGCTGTAGTTAGCAGATATTGATCGATGTGGTGGGACATACAGATATGGTATCCGGACATCCCTGAATCAACAGGATGGCGCGTACCATGGATTCCATGCTACTTGAGGGCATTCTCTCCTGACATATTCGAGATAGGCCTAAGGATCTGGAACTCCAGATAGGCCTAACGTTCCACGTCCCACTGAAACGTACACGAACGTCATGAACGTATGAATAGGCCTGCGATTGGCCTAACGTTACACGTCCTCAACCAGATGTCTGGAAGACCACGATTCACCCTTATAGGTATAATTGGCGCCATAAGTCCAGAATTGAGTTTCTTTTGAAAAAGAAAAAGGTATGGCTTGGCGTGACCTGAAGGCAGTCAGTTGGTTAGGCCTAGGCCTAACGTTAGCGAATCCCATAGAAAGGCGGAGGGAGGGGGCGGGGTGGGGTTGAAAGGGAAAGATATTGAAAATTGGTTTTCACACTCCTTCATATATCACTGTATTTTGTCAGCTCCATGACAATGTGAATCTAACCGGACTTTGCGAGCGCTGCATGCATTCTTCAGAGCCCTGTACGAAAATCGGAAACTTGCCTGTAAATGTAACCGATTAGAAGCACGAAGGCAGCGACCAGGAATATTATCATCTTGCCGTGAACAAAACGGAAATCCCGCACAGAATAACACGCGACTTATAAGAGCGGAGCGGAATGATTCGATTCACAGGAGCATTGCATCGGCTGCGACTATCGTGAGAGGGAATGTGAGGAGGTGATAGGGAAGGACCTCAAGGTCAC